CTTCCCCATCGAGTAGGCAAGAAGAGGAAATAGAATTTCACCGAGACAGGAAATTAAATTGTAGCTGTTCTGGGAAGTAGCTGAGAACCTTCTGCAACAGAAATCAGCTCTTTACTCCAGCCCCAAGTCAACCACAAAGAACCTGAGAAGAAAGGATGTGTTTGGTCGCTGTTACCTTGAATGACAAACATCATTTGTTCTGACTACACATTGTAATAACCCCATCTCTACAGGAACATGACCTGTAATCAGAGAAAAATGACTTAGCTCATATGATGCCCATCCTATCTAGTCTATTTTATTAATTCAGACTATAAATAACAAATCCACATTAAAAAAAAAAAAAAGCCCAGGGTGGAGCTGGAGAAATAGCTTAGTGGTTAAGTGGTGTTCCAGAGGATCTGGGTTCAATTTCTAGTACCTACCTGGTGGCTCACAGCCATTTGTAACTGCAATCCCAGGAAATCTAAATCTCTCTTCTGGTCCCCACAGGCATTTGAATGTATGTTGTATTCATCACAACTCAGGCATATATGTACATACACATCAAATAAAAATAAATAAATCTTTTTTTTAAAAAAATGGTCCAATGTATAGAGTAATCTTTAAGCACAAAGCTCCAATAGTCTAGAAATCTCTTTCTATCCTTTTCCCTTATTTCCCATAAGTGGCTTATTCCTTGGATTCATATTCTGTTTACAGTGAGCTGGGTTCATAATCTAGCAGAACAACAAAGGGTGTGCTGCTTTCTAGGGAGTGCCAGGAAAAACCAAGTCTACCGTGTGCCATCACAGACCACCCAGCTGTGGACAACGCTCTGTGCTTTGACTGTATGCACCTAAGTCCTAGTAACTGTCAATGTAGTGTAACCCACAGGGACCAAAATTGTGCAAGGATACTTGTGAAAGAAAAATGAAAAATGCAAAAGTCGAAACTAGGCAAGAAGCAGGAGAAGGAATTTGCTGAGACAGAAACTTTCTTAACGTTTCAAATTTTAAAAATATTTTAAATTGCCTAGTAGTGGTGGTGCACACCTTCAATCCCTGCACTCAGGAAACAGAGGCAGGTGAATCTCTGTGTGTCTGAGGCCAGCTTGATCTACAGAGCTGATTCCAGGACAGCCAGGGCTCCACAGAGAAACCCTGTCTCGAAAAGACAAGAACAAATAAGCAAACAAAAAGCATTTTAAAGTAACAGAGCCCACAGTGCTGAATAGCTGCTGCTGCTTCTGGGAACTGAAAATGGCAAAGGGACTCTTGTCCTCTGCAGAGCCTGGACTGCAAGAAACACACAGAGGTATCAAGAGCACAGATGCTAAGCAAGAAAAAGACAAAATAGCCAATACATCCAGACTCAAATATATCTCCAGAGGAAGTGAAGTTCACACCATTTTAGAGTCATTTCCTTGAGTTGGGCAAAAATATCTCTAACAGTATTTAAATCTTTAAATCTCCTTTTTTTATTTTTTTTATTTTCTTTTCTTCATTCCTACCCTCCTTACTTGAAAAACAGATAGAGGGCAAATATTTAGGTGTATGTGTTTCTCCCACATGTTAATGATAGACTATTCTGTCCAGTGCTAGAACAGGAGTAAGTCCAGGCACGGAAATCCCTACGCAGGGTCTCTGATGGAGTGGAGTATCTGGAAGGTGTATTGAAGGATCTAATGACATAGCTACAGGAAGACTGACTCCTGCCAACACCAATGCCTTGGGAACTCAGGTTACTGGCATCTTTTGGAAACTTAATTTTCCCTTACAGCTAGGATTTTAAAGAAAAACTAGGAGGGTTATGAATTGTGTGTGCCTCCTAGGCCTAAAGGGATAATCAATCTTTTAACCACAAAATGAATAAGTCAAGTGCCTCTCAAGTTTAATACTAATAAAGGCAATTTCTTCCATCCTTCATTTCCCAGTAACTTAATCTTTCTTTTCTGGAACTCTGGTGGTTGCCTTTGGCAAAGAAAAGGACTTACATAACTGAAATATATTTGCCTCTAATAACAATAAAATTCAAATTTTTTTCATCTACCTAATAAAGATAGAATGTTACTGGTTGAAGGCTACATTTGAGAACACAATACGGTTGTCAATAATGTCAGTTCATGATGGAGCCAAAGCTGGTCTAGAAACCAAATGGCCTGCTGCATTGATCCCAGCTGTCAGTTCTTGGGGGCAGACAGGTAACTGCCCTACTCTTACCAATAAGAATTTAGTTAATCAGACTTCTCATACTAACAAGTTATCATCTCTTGGGCCAACAGTTGCATGGAACAGGACATAAGAGGAAAAGATAATAAAGACCTGAGACAAAACAGGTTGGGGTCTCTTGAAAAGAAGAATATTGCTTCGTTTCATTTTGTTTTTGTTTTCATTCATTTGCTTTTTAAGACAAAAATCTCAACATCTACCCCAGGCTGGCTTGCAACTCATAATCCTCTTGACCTAAAATCCTGAGTACTGGGATTTTAGGTCTGCATCACCATGAAAAGAAAAAAAAAAAGTATAACATTACTCTTGCAAGGAAAAGCTAACAGAGTTATGAATTGTGTGTCCTTTCTAGACCTAAGGGAAAATCAATCTTTAAACCTGTCGACATAAAGTACCAATTCTATATAGAAAAAGGAAATAGTTTATTCCAAGCCCAAAGTGAGCAACCATGACCTGAGGACCCAGATGCAGTGTTCTGCCACAGCAGAGGTTGGGGGGGGGGGTGGGAGAGCCAAGAATCAATGTGTTTACAAAATACAGCTGAGGGGTCATCTGGTAGGCAGGCTGCAGAATGCTGTTTTAGGTTTGGTGAGTATAAGTGTGTCAAACTTGCTGAGATATTTCAGTTTATCTCAAAGTCAACAATGTTAGGTAAGATAAAGAAGTGAGTAGTAAAAGACAGCCCAAGGTAACTTTGGTTCTTAAACTACAGAATGAAAACGTTCTATTCAGCTAAAGTCAAGTGGTTCATAAGATCATTAACAAAAGATGTCGATTCCTACCAAAAAGACCTACCATCCACAAACCACAGGATGAACAAACGAATCAAGTATCTACTGTGTTTACCACTCGGCCATTTACTACTATTACTTACTATTGTAAGCTATGTCATCACAAGCACAATAGTCTCTCAGCCAAATGAATAAATCTTGGAAACTTAAAACTTCCATACAATTAAGCAGCCTTGTGCATGTAACATGAAATTCCCAAAGGAAAACAATATAGTGGTCAGAATGCCTGGTGCCCTTGGCAACTGTTGTTTCACAGTAACTGTGTGGTATTCCATTGGCAGCTGATAAATCCAAATTCTAGATGTAGATAGCAGGGTCTGTGTGTTAAGAATCAGGTCTCTGTATCAAGGCTTAATGCCAGATGCTACCCCATAGCAAATCATCAGAAAAAGCACTGATAGCCCTACCAAACCCTGAGTCACCCCAATCCATCTAGCTCTCTACCTAGTTCACCAAACGTAAGGCCTCTTGGAGACACATACCTTTCTCTGATCTATGAGTCTTCAAACTCATAAAATTCAATGCTGCAAAATCAGTGGATTTTTTTTTAACATTCTTTTCTGGCCTAAGAATACTATCAGATGAAATCTTTGAAAAATACAATGATAGTGAGTAGATTTATTAACAAGCACAGTTGATATTCCTGATGTGCTACATTAGGTGTGATGGGAAACCATCCATGAGGGAGGCACAAACATATTAAGCCTCTTAATGTCAACCACAGCACTCAAAGTACAAATTGCATTGTATGAAGACAGAAATTATTTAATCACTAGTTATCAGCACAGGACTCTTCGAGAGACACTGAGGGCTCAGATGACTGGTGGGAAGAGTTGCAATTAGGAAAGGAAGAGACTGGTTTAGTTCCAATGTTCTGGGAAGGCGCTTCCCTGGATATTGAATCTGAACTTTGGAAAGACTGTCATGGAAGTTAAACCAACTTGGAGAACTCAGTATTGTAAGACTGAAAAAAGGCAGTATAGTAATGTTCTTCCTCCCCCCCTCCTCCCCACCCCCCGCCAAGTTTTCATGATCCTTTATGCCTTAAACTGGTGGATTTGAGCACCTCTTTAGAAAGATACACCAATCCAATTGTATAAGCCATCAGTCAAACCAACTGTGTATGTAGTCAATCCTCTGCAGCCATGTGGTTTTTTGTTTGTTTATTTGTTTTGTTTTGTTTCCATCTGTGGATTCCACAAACTATGAATCGAAACTATTTAGGAAAAGCTTTTTTTCATCTTTTCTGCATGTATGTGTAGGTGTTTTGTTTTGCTTTTTGGTTTTGTTTGTTTGTTTGTTTTCTGTTTTTGTTTTTTGGGTTTTTTTTGTTATTGTTGTTTTTTCTCCTTGCCATTCTCTTCCAAATAATAAAGTATGGCATCTATTTAGATAAATTTGTATTCATTGTCACCAAGTAGAGATGGTTTAAAATAAACGGGACGAAGGGTACTTATTATGCAAGGCTTGCACATACCTGGGTTCCAGTACCACCTAGGAACAACACCTGTGGATTTAGAGATAGATCTGCATTTGGAATGAAGACCTGAAAACTCTGGATCTTTCAAACTCTGACTCTGTAAGAATCAGGGGAAAGATGCCACCATTTCCATTTCATCAGGAGAGTCAAGGCTGCAACTAAGAGAAAAACCTAAGGTCCTTGCCCACATGCTGTTTACTTAGCTGCCCAGAGGCCTCTGGCTCCAACTGAAAAGAAACACCTACCTCCCTGCCCCTTTTCTTGGGCTGCAGCTAGCCCAAGAGCTCCTGAAAACCCCTTTTAAGCCCGGCTTGCCAGGGAAAAGTGGATTCATCTGCATGCCAGAGCTGCACAGAAAGTTCTGGTCCTTCTAGTTGCACGGGATTCCCGGGCTGAACTCTTCCCGGAAACTTTGCTTCGCTGCTTCTCTTGTGAAATCTAGTGTGTGTGTGTGGGGGGGGGGGGGAGGAGGTTGGGGGCGGGGAGGGCTCCCTCGGCTGGCTCTCTGGCTTTTTAAAGGCGGGAGCCCGAAGGCAGGCAAAGCACCGGCTGGCAACCTCGCTCTGCAAGCCTGGCCGCCAGTGCCCACCGCAGCTGCACCTGACCAACCGCCTCTGGGCGCCTCTCCCAAAGGTGGGTCACTTTCCTGGCTATTACCTCGACGCTTTCGCCAGAAGCCGAGGTCCCTTTTCCATCTCAGCCCACCTCCAGCCCTTGTTTTCTGGACCCCACTTTTCAGCCAGCTGATACTGAGATATAGGCAAACTACCCCCTATCTCTCACATAAAAAGGTCGCCCAAGGCTGTAGCAGGATCGGTTAATCCAGCCAGTCTTTACCTTCCTGAGGTTGTGTTATGCATCAAGGTGCAGGGGACTCCGGAGGGGAAAGACCCAGGGCTGGGCTCTTTCTCCGTCTGACTGGATTCGTCCAACTCTGAAGCCCTCGTGGGAGAGGAGCCTGGAAGAATGTAGATGTGCGGTGTAGCAGTCTAACACTACATCTGAAGAATCCCTCACCCGGACCTGAAATTGGGCAGTGGTTGTTTCTTGATCTTAATTTAAATACCCTTAAGCAGCTTCACGATGGCTTTTCCAGAGAAATACTGTTTGTGATGCAGTTTACTGCTTCAGGGAAGGGACAGATGTCTGTCCAGAAGCAGGTGGTAGGAGGTTTGGGGATTTTATTTTTCTTGTTACTGGCGTTTTTATTTTTCTCTGAATGGCACTTTAAAAGATGAATGGTGTGTCCTGGAAAGCAAGTGGCCTGAACCAAGGGGTGGTGGGAGTGTTTAGGGTTCTCTTCCTAGTTCTACCTGGCAGCTCAGTAGCTAGGTCTCAGTTCCTCTAATCTAAGTCGAAAGTGGATTGGTCCAAGAGTATCCACAGTCCAGCTCTACAAGGGAAAAAGCCCTAAGATTTGAGATGAGATGCTTCAGATGTAAAAGATGTTGGAAGTATAACCGAGTAATTTTCATAATTTCACAAGCTTTGTTTTTATAAGGAAACCACCCAGTTGTTCTCCCAGGAGCGTCTTAAAGATTCACCACATTTATCATTCCGAGAATGCTCCAGGCTTTCAAAACCATTCTTCAGCCTTGCCGTGGGAGAATGTCCAATTCTGTATAAATGGCAGTCATATAAATGTCACTCACATGAGAGAACATTTTTTTTTCTGATACAGTAGGTGTAATTTTGTAAAATGGCACATTTATTTGAAGCAGTAACTTTTTTGAGATATGGCCTTTGCAAGGCCCTGGGTTTTTCAGAACACTGTGATTTAGCACGGTGTGAAATCCTACCAGCATGCATTCCTCCTGCATGGCAAACACCAGCAGCCCAGAAAACAGGATGAAGCACTCTGTTATCAGACTTCCTTCAAGGTTGTAAACTAAATGGTACATGTGTACCTTGAAATTGGGTCATAGCACTTTCTCCATTTGGCAACATTTATGATTTTGCTAAAACTTACATAGCAACTAGCAGTTCAGAAAAAAAGCATACACGAGACCTGACCTCTAATGGCATCTGCCATTAATAAGTTTACTAACTGCCATTTAGGAGAAGCCAAATAGGTTTTTATAACCTTTTATTTAAAAAAAAAAAAAACTAAAATATTAAGCCCTGCAGTGTGGTGTGTATGGCTGTAGAGAAATGGGTTTGTTTGTGGTAGAACATTAGAGTGACTCATCACTCCACATTACCTTGTCTCTTGAAGGATTACCCTTCACTTACCCTATATCATCAATTCCAGTATTTAAATGATATAGACGTATACATAGCTGATTCTGCAGTCGCAGAAACGCACGTCAGTTTTTCATGGTCTTCACTATCTAGTCCCCTTCATAATAAATTCAAGGACTGGAGACATGGTCAGCGAGTAAAATACTTGCCCCCAAAGCATGGGGATCTGAGTTCAAGTCCCCAGCACTCTCATAGAAAACTGGTTCCCATGGCACACACGTGTCTCAGCACTGGGGTTGCTGCACTAAGTATCCCCTAGTCCACTGGCCAGATAGCTTGGCCAAATCAGTGAGCTCCTGGTTTACTAAGAACTCTGCACAGGAGGAAAGCTAGATGGGAAGAAGTAGAGGGGGACAAGGGGGGCAAGTGAAATTAATGGAGGAAGGGGTGAATATGTTCGGAATGTATCATGTATATGTATAAAAATATTATAAGGAGACCCATAATTATGTATAATTAATGTATTCTAATTAAAACATAGGATGGGAAGCAATCCAGGAAGATGGCAAACATTGACCTCTGACCTCCACGTACATGTGTACACACACAAATAGATATTTGTGCATAGACCCAGTTAAGTAAATGAGTAAATTTAGCTACTTTTATTGCTTTCTATAAAAAAAATTTTTAAAGTCTGAAAAAAGAATGACAAACGTCATTTGAGAGAGAAACAAAGCCAATAGCAAAGACACAGTCACCCATCAAAGCTAGATGACTTGTTAGGGCTCTGAGTTGAGCTGTCATCTGAGGAGCCCATTTAGCACCTACAGCCTAACAAATTAATGATCCAAGTATCCAATCATAATTCCCACCACAAGAAGCAGGAAAAAGAAGTCATAGTCACTTTTTCTGGATGAGCTTAGGACTTATTCAAAGATTAGACTAGATAATAATAGAAACAAAGTTTACAAAGACAAGGTCTCTCATGTTACCTGTTCGCATCCAGAGAGACTGGCTCTTTAGTCAATTATGAACTTCTCATGGTGTGTGAAACCTACTGAGTGCTTCTCAGTGACTTTTAGGTCATTTCCAAATGGTTTTAATTAACATTTGTTCTTTTGTTAAGAAGAAGCCAGTACACAAAGAATAAAACTAAGTAAATAACCAAAGGATAATGAACACTTAAAGCAATGTGTGATGAGAAAATTACTTGGGCTATATAGAAATGATTTTTCATCCAAAATTGTTTAAGAATAAAGAACAAAGAGTGCTTATGCTGTTTGAAGATTGTCTTTCAGAAACATGCCATTGAAAAAAGAATGCACTGGTGTACTAAAAGAAATATTTCCACTGTAATTAAGAGGGTAGGACATTGACATCCCCATCTAAATTCTGCAGAGTTTATTCACCCATGTGTGGCAAGCTCTTTCTTCATTCTGCTTTGACAGGAGCATATTTAAGAAAAGTAACTTTGAGAGGTGTATGGTTCTTTTAAATTTAAAGGACATCATTGTTCCTAACATCAGAATGAAGTTCACTTTTCTCCTTAAAAGCAAAGAAAATGTACAGAAAGGGTAATTTTGAAAAGTTAAGAGCTGTAACTACACATTAAAAGAAAACTAAGAAGTATTTATCTAAGTATATAACACATCTCCAAAAAAGAGTTATTAGTGGGACTGGAGAGATAGTTCAGTGCTAAGAGTACATACCACTCTCACAGAGGACCTGAGTTCAGTTCCCAGTACACATGCTGGGAGATTCACAACCACTTATAACTACAGCTCCAGGGGAATTTAATGCCCCTGGCATTCTTGGGAACCTACACACACACACACACACACACACACACACACACACACACACTTAAAAGTTGATATTTTTAAGATGTTAGAACACAAACTAGATAGTCTCCTTGGTCTCCGCACCCAATATTAAAAGAAATAAAATGTATTAAGAACAAAATTAGGGCTCCTAGCTCACCCTTAGTGGGCAAAGCTATGGATTTAGGGCATAGGATTATAATTAATGCTGAATGGAAAGCATGCATCTTTCATCTACATTTGCTGTTTATACGATACGGGAACACCGAACTTACCTTTGAGCCCAAGTTAAATGATGGCTAAAACAACTCTTACAGGCTTTAATAAATGTTCTTGTCCTGTCTCCAAGCGGATCAGAGTCTGTGATGCATTCCCCCAGTGTCTGTGCATCCCTGTGCTTGACCCTCACACATGTTTGTGGTTTGCCTGTAATCTATGCTCTCTCGAGCTCCCTGAGAATGGGACTCACTGATTCCTCGCTTTGTCCTTTTTGCCTAACACAATGCCTGGCACAGAGAAGCTGTTGTAAATATCCTGGAAATATGAAAATTTACCGAATCCCTCCTGATAATACTGACTTCTGTGTTGGAAAGATGCTACCCAAAGAGTTACATAAACATCGGGAATGGATGATACCTGTAATCTTTCAGTTAACATAGTCAAAGGTCTGATTTTTAACCCTGCCATTTGGAGAGAAGTTTAAGGTTGTTTTATTTAACATAGAAATAATGAAAATTATTATAGTTGTTCTTCTATTAATAGATGAAACTGTAGAAATGGTGTTTCCTTTGCTTTCATACATTACTGGGCTGGCATAAAGTGTGAAGTCCATGGACAATTCAAAAGAGATTATTCATGTCAAAGCATTCTTATACACACAAACTCACTACTGAGTTTCTAGTTAACTCTTATTCAGTACAGAAGTTCAAAGGTGATTTGTTTATCAGGCTCAATTCTGTGACACATAAACAAAAAATAGTATAGGAAACGGAAAGATTGAGACAAAGTTAGTTCCGTAAATGGTTCATTGCAATTGACAATAATGTGCCAGTTGTAGACTTTTCCTAGGCCGAGATTCTAAATTATTCTTGCTATATTTTTTGAGTCACTTCTGAGAAGCTGGAAGATATTTTTGGTGAGGGTAGAACACAAAAACTCCCTTTGGGAAGCAAGAGTCCACAGTTATTAGATTTATAGGCCAAATTGTGTTGGCCCAGAAGGAGAGTACTGAAGACCACATAGATTGTTTTCAAAATTAGCCTGGGAGCCTTTGGAGAAGAGATGCCCCTAAAGGGGAGATTTAGATATAAAATACACTCAAGATAAGAAAAGTGGTTTCATCTCTCCACCCAGTTAGTTGTTCCCCAACTCCGTGGGCACGGGCCATATTTGACAGAAGGGAATGAGAGGTAGGGAAAGCTCTGGTACTATGGTAACTGGCTGTCTAAAGAGGACCACCCTAATGTGCAGCATTTGGTGATTTTTATCCATATCTGATTTCCCCTTCTACTCAGCAAGCCAACTCTACCCACTAGAGGGAGCCCAGATTAAAATCCTGGCTATTACAAAGGGAAAGTTCTGCTGGGAAGCTTGTCTATCAGGGTATAACAAAAGCATGGTGGAAACTGTCTA